CGATTGGACTACCGTCCCCTGACCCAGTGGTTTAAGTCGTCGGACTTTGAGCTAACAGGTCGGGAGTTCGAGCTTCGGGTATTCCACACTTCGGTACCGCGCCCCACAGTGTTTATAGGTGGTGACGATCTTCTGAGGTAGTTTCCCGTCTCCTAAGATCACTGGAGTTTGGCATTGCTCATAGGCCAGATGCAATAATTCGGCATCTCAATATGAGACCTAAGACCTTACTGCCATCCCATGAAACAAGAAACGTCGTTTGTCGGGTCCATTGCAGCTCCTGTGAAGTGATCTACAGCGGACAGGCCGAAAGACAAGAGTAGACCCATGTTGGAGAACGCACGAGGGCGGCAAAGGGTATGGACCCGTTGTGTTTGGTGGTAGAACACTGCGAAAACTGCGGACACAAGTTTGCCTTCTTGAATGTTGAAACCCTGGGTCGAGGGGATGACCGCGTGACCAGAGAAACAACAGAAGTCTGGCACACCGGCCAACCTCCGTCAACCGTCATGTAGCGCTTTCCGAAGCCTACCAGGCCCACCGAACAAAGCTCAGTGAACAGAAGAGCAAACGCGAGTTACGACAAAACAGGAAGCCAAATACGGCCGAGTCCATGGGGGATGCTAACGCAGCTGTACTGCAACCCAGATCTGAAGAAGGTGTGATACCTACCACAGCCGCGTCATCCACTCATCCGGCAGATGAGAAAACGGACGTTCACTTTGACACAAACGGACCCGAAGAAGGTGCGATCGTCACTACCACTTGTCCGGCAGGCGAGAACACAAGCGGTCGTGGGGTCATAAAAGGGGTTGCCAGCCTAGGACGAGAGATCAGATGAATGCAAACGTGTACGATGACGGCTAGCTTCCGAACGCCGGTCCCCGATGAGAGGTAAACCCGCTACAACAAGGTCGTCATCACTCATAAATACTGTGAGGCGCAGAAAACACTCACCTCCGAAGATGAAAGATTATTTGCTTTTGAAACGTCAGCGCAATACAACTATGGCTCCAGAAATCGCTTCTTCTAATAATTTATGTCCGGGACGCGCATCTTCGCTTCTAGATTTATATATATATATATATATATATATAGTGGTAGGAGCCACTCACCGATCGTTTTTACGGAACTCACTCTTTCCGTTGTGACTTACGGGGTCTCTCTCTCGAGCCCAAAAAGCAGCCGCACAGCGGCGCATGATATAGGCAGCATGTTATCACCGCCAAAGACAAGGGAGACTGGAATGGCCATTTCAAACTTATTAGCCATCGTCAGCCAATCATACCCAAGCCCGAAGTGTGGAACACCCGAGGCTCGAACTCGCGACCTGTTAGTTAGAAGTCCACGCCTCTAACCACTGGGCCTCGAGCCCGTTCCCATGTCGGTTTTTCGATCGGGAATATACAGTGGTAGGAGGAGCTCACGACCGTTCCTACGGAATTCACTCGTTCCGTTGTGACTTACGGGCTCTCTCTCTCGAGCCCAAAAAGCAGCCGGACAGCGGCACATGATATAGGCGTGAACGGTCGTGAGCGCCTCCTACCACTGTTTATTCCCGATCGAAAAACCGACAGGGCAACGGGTTCGAGGCCCAGTGGTTAGAGGCGTGGACTTCTAACTAACAGGTCACGAGTTCGAGCCTCGTGTGTTCCACGCTTCGGGTTTGGGTATGATTGGCTGACGACGGCTACTAAGCCTGAAATGGCCATTCCAGTCTCCCTAGTCTTTGTCGGTAATGCCATTCTGCCTATATATCATGCGCCGCTGTGCGGCTGCTGGTTGGGCTCGAGAGAGAGCCCTTAAGGCACAACGGAACGAGTGAGTTCCGTATGAACGACCGGTAAGCGCCCCCTACCACTGTATATTCCCGATCGAAAACCGACAGGGCAACGGGCTCGTGCCGCAGTGGTTAGAGGCGTGGACTTCTAACTAACAGGTCGCGAGTTCGACTGGATCAACTGCGCCAGGTGCGTCTGGGCGCATGTTTGAGTTTCTGGTTCCAGCTGCTGGTGGTCAGGGTTATGATTGACTGAATGAAGGCACAATAAGCCCGAAACAGTACTGTATCAATCCACCCACATTCTCCGTCGTCCCTCCTCGCTGATATATATATATATATACCAGCAAGGAGGGACGACAGAGAATGTGGGTGGATTGATACAGTACTGTTTCGGGCTTATTGTACCTTCATTCAGTCAATCATAACCCTGACCACCAGCAGCTGAGACCAGAAAGACAAACATGCGCACAGACGCACCTGGCGCAGTCGGTCCACCACTGAGGCCTACCAGATGGGTCATAAGCACTTCATCGAACCGAAGTTCATCAGTGCCTCGCCACCTGTCATTCTCTGTCGCTGCAGATCGGGTATTTATCAATCAGGAATGGGCGCACACCGATCTATTGGCTTCACAAAGCAAACAAGTTCCGTATGTGTGGCAAAGGTCACGAACAGGCAACCAATTACCAGGTCGAAGTCGGCCAAGTCATAATAGCAGCGAGGATGGACGACAGATAATGCGGGTAGATTGATACAGCACTGTTTCGGGCTTATTCTGCCTTCATTCAGCCAATCATAACCCTCCTCGCTGCTATTATGACTTGGCCGACTTCGGCCTGCAGTGCCCTTTAGTGATACGATAGGCCGGAGAGGAACGCCCTCTTTGTGCGTTCAACGGTCGTATTGGACAGGACAGACTACAATCAGAAAGCCAAAAGCTTGTTGGAGGATCGTCAGTCCTATGTCCCATGCTAATCCAACCCCATGAAAACGCTGACACGCGAGATTAACGCGACGCTGTTGGCAATGGAGAACTCAGGTGCAATATCGCCAATCGACCGACGCATGGCGAGAGCACAAGAAACGGCCCTAGCCCGATTCTACGGTCTCCCAAAAGTGCACAGAGAGGGCGTTCCTCTCCGGCCTATCGTATCACTAAAGGGCACTCCAACCTCCGGACTGGCAAAGTGGCTGTTCCAACGTCTCAAGTTCCTGACCTCCGATTCGAACACCACAGTCAGCTCGTCAACGCAATTCTTGGAGAAACTTAAAACAGTAAGTCTCCTGCCAAGCGATATCATGGTTTCCTTTGATGTCACGTCCCTTTTTACTTCTATCCCGTAGGGCCTGGCAGTCGAGACCATCGAACTACTCCTACGAGAGAAATACTACGAAACGGAGAATCGCCTCGGACACGCCCAAATCATCCAGCTCCTGAAGTTCTGTCTCAAGACGTACTTTACATCCGACGGAACAATCTAGGAGCAGGTGAAGGGAACGCCAATGGGTTCGCCGATTTCGGGACTCATAGCCGAGGCGGTCCTACAACGGCTGGAGTCGCTGGTTTTCCGACACCACAGACCGAAATTTTGGGCTAGGTATGTGGATGACACCTTCGTCGTCATCGAACGGGATCAGGTGCTGACGTTCAAAGAACAACTCAACGCCGTCTTCCCGGACATTCAATTCACGATGGAGGAGGAGAAAAACAATCAGCTGGCCTTCCTGGATGTCCACCTCTGCTGCAAAGATTGTGGTGGCCTAAAAACCAAAGTCTTCAGGAAAGCGACAAATACGACGCAAATACTGAACTTCAATAGCAACCACACGATCAGTCACAAACGCAGTTGCGTAAGGGCAATATACCGGCGCGTTGAGACGCACTGCAGCGAAATGGAAGACAAGGTTGCCGAACTACAATATCTTCGACGGGTAATGAGAGCCAATGGTTACCCGCGCAGCTTTGTCAATCAGTGCATACGAAAAGGACACCAGAGACCAAATCCAACCGGACCCAAATTTTGGCGGGCTCTTCCGTACGTGAAGAACGTCTCGGAAACCGTCAGTCGTCTTCTCACTCCACTTGGAGTTGGGGTTGCACACAGGCCGGAAGCAACCATTAGGCGCCAAGTCATGAGGCCAAAAGACCCGCTACCACGGCAGGACACGTCTGGAGTCATTTACCGGATCTGGTGTAGTTGCGGACAAAGCAATTATGTCGGAGAAACTGGGAGATTACTCCGTACGCGAATTGCCGAGCACGCAGCAGCACAGAGGCGGGGAGACGCTAACTCTCAAGTGGCGGCACGCTCGACGAGACCCCGCCATATTTTCAAATTTCAAGAGGCCGAAATCCTCGCAAGGGGTGACAACCGCGTGAGCCGCGAGCTGCTCGAGTCATGGTTCTCTGGCCCGCAATCCATCAACAAGCCCAATGACCTCCCGGTACCCTATAGCGTACTGCGATTTTCCCTGGGCAGGAGAATCAGTCACGTGGGGAGGGCGCGGGCGAGCAATCATCACGGTGACAGTGAGCCAGTTTGCCGAGCAATCGTCACACCAGCATCCAGCACGGATGACGAAATCGCGGCAATTAACGACTCGGACTCGGACCGACAAGCCACCACCGCATCAATTACGACCCCAGCGGTGATTACGCGAACTGTTAATTGCAGTGCGCATGCGGTCCCACGGCAGCCACGTGCTATAAATACTGCCCTCCTGGTGCCACAATCACCTTTATCTGCGAATGTCTCTGATGATGGATTCGAGTAAGTATCCGAAACGTCAGGCAAATAAATTTCTTGTTCCGGTGATCGCATCTTCATCTTCTGATTTTGTATGTGGCATCTTGATCGATATGCTGGTTGATGCATGCCTCATCTGAGTTCACTGCCTCCAGGAATTCGCGGCCTCTCCTTACTGGGCAAGCGCCAACAATGCGAACGTTTTCCCATGCAAATTTGTGACCAGTGTTCAATATGAGCATGGCCACCTGGGATAGATGGTCGCGTCTCTTTACCGCCACCTGATGTTCATGTATACGGGTTGAGACAGATTTCCCAGTTTCGTCACAATAGACGGCATCAAAACCAGAACATGAGATTTTGTAGACAACACCTTTTCTTTAGGAGGTAGTCAACCCTGTCCTTAGGGTGTACAAACTGTGTGCGTAAGGTAGTTGCCGGCTGGTGTGCTACGTGTGTCTAGTACTTTTTTATTGTCTTTCGACTAGTTGAGATACATTTTTCACGCATGGGAGAGTTCACCAGGTGGTTGATTTTGATGCCTTAGCGGCCATAGCATTGGAAATACCTTTCCTTTGAGTTGCATGTGCCTCATGCATTGACGTAGAGAAAATTTATCCATCCTTCAGGAAGACCCTGGCATCAACGCGCCCAGCACGATTTTGAAAAGATTAATGAAGTTTATGTTTTTCAATTCGATTTCTTAATCTCTTACACAGTTTTCGAGTGTGAATCCGGCAAAATTTCTTATTTTTTGTCATAAGTCATCTCAACATCTTGTCGTGTTTTATCTATTTATCCTAAAGCGGAAATAAAGTTTCATAGTTTTTCACCCAACATAGTCTCAATCTGTTATATCCCCCAGTAGTATGACGCCAGTTCGGCGCGGAATAGAAGACAGACAGGATACCAGAGAACAGGTTTACTGTGTCAGTCACTCTGTGTACACCAACTCTTAATCCTTCCGTTCGTGGCTTTGTATTTAAGGGTTCAGTCTTCGTCTGGTTTGCGTGCTCCTATTGGTCCACTCCTGAGCGTCCGCATGGGCAGGACCTCACATGCTGCTGACCCCTGGAGGTCGCGCGTGACTCAGCGGTGTGCTAATGTCTGGCTCGCATGCGGGCTTCCTAGGCGAGGCTATCCTGCCGGTTTGCGGTTCTTTGTCAGGCGTGACCTCCGGACGACAGGAACGGTGCGTCATGTTCTGGGCCGTCCTAACACAATCCTATTAAGCTTTGCACGCATATGTAAAAAGTATTCCTCGTAAAATTTTGAACAACATTATATTTTTAATGATAAACCGTCTCCACTGACCGCCTTTCTTGTGGATTTATTGACTTGTAAGAGAACTATACTGTTCTCTTTTTATCCTACATTGCTTCATTATCCAATGTAAATTTACTTACAGCTTTGTTTTGCCACGCACATGATTGTCACTTATCCGTTATTTTCAAGATTGCATTCTGGTATGGAGTAAAAATTGCTTGGTATCAATTGTTCTGTCTAGTCCACCAATATTGATAGCTTTCAGAAATTGTTTCATCATACATGACCTCATCCTTACATCCTCGAAGTTTCGGCAGCTATCATCACTATAAATTTGGACTAAAATCTTGTTTTGCTTTTTCGACATGAAACCTTAGGCAACACTTCGTCTAAATCTGAAGGAAACTAAACTCCATTTGAAACCCATTGTACATATGTTATCGAACGGCATCAACTGTTGACATTCAAGGAACATCAGAATGCGGTCTTATCAGACATAAAATTTACGATGGAGGAGGAACAGGACAGCCAGCTGGCCTTCGTGGATGTCCTCGTATGCCGTAAAGATTGTGGTGGACTAAAGATCAGAGTGTTCAGGTAAGCGACAAATACGATGCGAGTACTGAACTTCAACAGCAACCACCCAATCAGCCACAAACGCAGTTGTGTAAGGACGCTCTATCGCCGTGTCGAAACGCACTGCAGTGAGCCGGAAGACAACATTGCCGAACAACAATACCTCCGACGGGTCTTCAAAGTCAATGGCTACCCACGCAACTTCGTCAACCGGTGCATACGCAAAAGGGACGAAGGCCCTAACCGCACAAACACCAAAGTTTGGCGAGCGCTTCCATGTGTCAAGAACGTTTCAGAAGCTGTTGGCCGCCTTCTTGCACCACTTGGGGTTGGAGTGGCACACAGACCGGAGGCAACCATCAGGCATCAGTTAGTGAAACCTAAAGAACCACTACCACGGCAAGGAACGTCTGGAGTCGTTTATCGGATTTTGGTGCAGTTGCGGACAAAGCAACTACGTCGGGGAAACCAGAAGACAACTCCAAACGCGAATGGCCGAACACGCTGCAGCGGTGCGGAGAAATAACGCTAGCTCTCAAGTTGCGGCTCATTCGACGGGTTCCGGCCACACATTGAAATTTGACGATGCCGAAATTCTCGCAAGAGGTGACAACCGCGTGAGCTGGGAGCTGCTTGAGTCGTGGTTTACTGCCCCCAGTATATTAACACGTCAATGATCTTCCTATTAAATACTTGGTGCTGGGACTTCGTATAGGCGGGGTAATTAGCCACGCGGGGAGAGCACAGGTGGACACTCTTCCCAACACCCGGGTCAGCGTGTCAGATGACCGAGCAATCATCACACCAACATCCAACACACGTGATGAAATTGCAGCCATTGACGACACGAATGTCGGCCATCACACCACGTGCAATGATCGCTGATGAAGGGGGAGGGCCGTGAATATTCATAGGTATGCGGTAGCATAGCTACTGCATCCTATAAATACTGCAACCCCTTAGGCATGAACCATCCATATCTGCTTTTGTCTCTGATGATGGATTCGAGCAGGAATCCGAAGCGTCGGGCTAATAAAGAACTTGTCCCGGCGACCGGGTCTTCTTCTTCTTCTTCTTCTTCAAGACTGCTTCCTGGCACTCGTCTCCTCTCTTCTGTTGGCAGACCTGGGAGCGCTCGATTATTTTAACAATGTTATGTCTCGTTACGGATCAATTTTTCCTGTTTTTGGTGTCCTTCTTGAAGGAAAGTTGCCAGCACGTACGTCTCATCAATGTGAGAAACTCATGTCTTTAATGAATCTGGTTGCTAGTGAGTCCAAAGACAGGCATAAACGAGGTTTTAACTTTATTTTAAAAATGTTCCTAAGAGTAGACAGCCAAGCGATGTCGCTTTCCACCTTCTTTATTAATGCGGCCTCAACTTTAGGGTCGCTGGAACTGAACGACTTTCATTTAGGCGCAAAACCCACCAATTCTTGTCAAACTATTTTTTTCGATAGAAATGGACTTTATTTTCTGCCATTTGGAGCGCTCAGCTGAATATCTTGGGGTAAATAAACTTTTCATAAGTCGGGATAAAACTCAACTACAACAAAGAGTTTCTCCCCCATTAACAAACGTAAAGCCACCCCAGAACTAAACTCATCTGGCATTTGCCTCTAAAGCAGAGTCCATCGCGCGTCAACCAAATCACCCCCTATCTGCAGCGGCCCCAGTTCCATCTAGCTCTTTAAGTGGACACAGTATCACGGAATCGGTTGAAACCAGCCACTTTAAAACGCCCACAAGAAGCAGGGACTCCCATATTTACTAAGACACTTCACGTTAACAGTAAAGATGAGCCAATCCCGGAGGCACAACCGACCTCCAGCACTCAGAATAATAAATTGGTTAATAAATGGGGATCGAATCTATCCCGTTCCCGCGCCTGGTCACTCAGGTCTGGCCTAGCGGTTAGGTCAAATAAGCCAGATGATAGTTCAGGACGATCTTTACCTGTTTCTTACCCGAATTCTCAACTTAACGTAAACCCCCCAGTTGTGAAGCCCACTTGCAAAGCAGCCTGCAAAATGCAAGTACATAGGATTACTGATAATTATTCCAATCGCATTGCTAGCCTGAAACCCCAAATAATAAACCATTTCCTATTGTAGCTGTTTCTCGAACCTATTACGTCCGCCATCTAACATATACTACCCCTCATATTATGCTCAAGATTCACCAGATCACATTGTTAAGCGTCCTATTTTTACAATCCAACAAAACAACATTCATCTTCCTGGATCCTGCTCAAATGTTTTTCCATATAATGCTGCATCTTTAGTTTGTGTTAATTCCCCAAAAATTTTAGACCACAGCAACTTTGTCTTCCACCAATTGCTTCATCCCACCAGCTTACTTTTCCATCACCAGCTCTCCGTTTTTATAAGTAGCAATGAACGGAATCTACATATTAGGAATACGATCAGTATTGTCTCTCTCAACGCAAGATCAGTCGTGCAAAAGATGGCACAACTAAGAAGTGGCGGTGGATGCCTTCTTTACATAAGAGCCTCAATTGCACAGTCGCCTTATGACCTGAACATTTCCTCCTTATCCGGAAATTTATGTTTCGCTTCGGTAATCCTTCCGCAAAATAGGAAGGCTTTGGTCGGATGTGTATATAATTCTCCTTGTTACTCCGGAAATGACAGCCAACTCTGTGAACTGTGAAAAAGTTGCGGAGAATTCTTTCAATGTCAAGATCATCGTTGGCGATTTTAATTTGTCAGAAAATGACTGGCGCACACATACTTCTCCTCCTAAATTCCAGAAACTTCTACACACCATTCCCTTTTCAAACTTGCCTTAATTAGTCCACTCTTTGACCAGAAACGATAGTGTATTAGATTTAATTTTTACTAAAGGCACTTTCCCTTTATCTATGGATTTCTATCATGACCTTTTTGCAAGTGATCATGCATTAATTCATCGTCGCCTTCCAGTTGCCATTTCCGCAAAGCCAACAGTACAACGTAGTATTTTTGACTTTGCTTATGTTAACAAGGAATTAGTAAATAACGTTACATACACTCTTGATTGGCACAATACTTTTTTCAAATAATGATCTAATTTTTTCAACAATTTATTACAATGCGTAACAGAAGGTCTTCTCGACCTAGGTTCACAAAAAACATTTAAATCGAGTGCCACTTCCATCGCTGTCCCAGACTTGCTTAAACACAC